GGAAAAAAAAAAAACAGTAAAATAAAATAAACTTCCCGAAATTATGTCTCATCAAAGGAAGAGTCCAAATCCTCTTGAAGACCAATATTAAATTTATAAGCATCAAAAGGTCTTTTCCAGTCGACATTTTTGACATAAAAACTCAAAATTATAAATATTGGCGAGAATCGTTTCGCTATACTTTTTAGACAATCCTAGGTTCGAGATGCAAGATTGCCGCTAATTTTATTTTGAAAAATATTGCCACTGTGAAAGCCTGCATAAATGTATCTGCACTATGAATTTCATCTAAATAATCAGAAATATAGTTTAATTTAGTTAGTCACGACCTATGAGAAAAAAGCAGAAGTAAGTTAGGCACTGAAGAAAAAAAAAATGAAAAAAGAAACTTTTTCGGACCTAAGAAAGCTGACTAAAAAAAAAAAAATAGCTACCGAAGAAAAAACTTCACCGCAATCACACCTCGTTAAAAAAAAAATCCCGACCTAGGAAATCTGTCAAAAAAAAAAGTTAGTCGAAGAAAGGAGGAAAAAAAAAAACAGTAAATAAAATAAAATAAACTTCCCGAAATTATGTCTCATCAAAGGAAGAGTCCAAAGCCCTCTTGAAGACCAATATTAAATTTATAACCATCAAAAGGTCTTTTTCCAGTCGACATTTTTGACATTAAAACTCCAATGTTATAAATATTGTCGAGAATCGTTTTAGCTATACTTTTTAGGCAATCCTAGGTTCGAGATGCAAGATTGCTGCTAATTTTATTTTGCAAAATATTGCCACTGTGAAAGCCTGCATAAATGTATCTGCATTATGAATTTCATCTAAATAGTCTTCAAGTAGTTTTAACTTAGTTAGCCAGGTAAAATCACGACCTATGAGGAAAAAAGCAGAAGGAAGCTAAGCAACTGAAGAAGAAAAAAGCGAAAAAGAAACTTTTCGAACTTAAGAAAGCTGACTAAAGAAAAAAAACAAAAATAGCAACCGAAGAAAAAACTTCACCGCAATCACGCCTCACTAAAAAAAAAAATCCCGGACCTAGGAAATCCGTCAAAAAAAAAGTTAGTCGAAGGAAGGAAAAAAAAACAGTAAATAAAATAAATAAACTTCCGAGATTTGTCTCATCAAAGGAAGAGTCCCGAACCTACGAAAGCCCTCATGAAGACCTTCATAATCATCAAAAGGTCTTTTTTCAGTCGACATTTTTGACATGAAAACTCCAAAGTTATAAATATTGGCGATTTTGCAAACTTTGGCTAATAAAAACCTCTGGAGTGACGTAAGGCACACAATCTTTTGAATCGTTTAGCTATATTTTTTAGACAATCCTAGATTTGAGATGCAAAATTGCTGCAAACTTAACTTGCAAAATATTGCCACTGTGAAAGTCTGCATGAATACATCTGCGTTATGAATTTCATCTAAATAGTCAGAAATATCTTCTAGCTTTAATTTAGTTGGCCATGTAAGATCACGAGAGTTTTTTTTCGAGCTTTTTCTGAAGAAAAAAATGCAGAAGTTAAGTAGCTGAAGAAGAAAAAAAATGAAGAAAAAAAAAAGAAACTTTCTCTAACCTAAAAAGCTCTACTAAAAAAAAAGGTAGTTACCGAAGAAAAAAACCTCACCACAATCATACATTACTAAAAAAAATTCTGATCTAGAAAATCCGTCAAAAAAAAAAAAATTTAAAAATAAAAAGGTAGCTAGCCGAAGAAAAAAAACCAGCAAAATAAAATAAAATAACTTTCCTGAAATCATATCTCATCAAAGAAAGAGTCCCGAACCTATGAAAGCCCTGTTGCAAGACCAATATTAAATTTATAATCATCAAAAGGTCTTGTTCCAGTCGACATTTTTGACATGAAGATCCATCGTTATAAATACCTGCAGCTTTTGTAAATTTTTGACTAATAAAACCTCCGGATCGATATAAGGTATGACGCCATAAATACCATTTTTTGAATCATTTTCGGTATACTTTTCAAATAATCCTAGATTCGAGATATGATTGCTGCTACCTTTATCTTGCATGGATTTATCCAAATTTCTTCAAGCAGTTTTCATTTAATTTACCAGGTAGGATCACGAAAATTCTTTCTTAAGAAAGCCTGTTACAAGAACAAAGAAGAAAGTTAGGCAGGTGAAGAAAAGAAAAAAAAATATATTGAATAATTCTAGTGAACTTCACAGATTGTAATTAGATTTATTTCCCCAATATAGCCCTAATAAAATCCTCACTTGAATTGCTGGTCAAAGTAATAGTAGCACATATCGATATTAACAATTTCATGAAATAAACTTATATAGAATTAGTAAAACCTTTACTAGAATGCTGATCACTGCATTTTGTCCTAAAGTTAAAAAAAAAATTTTAAAAAAAATTTCCATTAATAATAATTTCGAATTTGAAATAATTTTTGCAATTCCGCTAGAAGGGTATAGATTATATAAACCCATAAATTATTTTCATACCAGCAAAATAAAGAATAATGAGAAATCGATTAATAACAAAATCCTTATAAACTAATGCTGATATTTTAAATATGTTTTTATTTTCATTTAACAGAGAATTGTTATTACCTAAATAAATCGTTATTTGTTTTGTTAAATTTAAAACTCAAATAAAAACAACGCGTTTTGTTAGTGTTTCTCATGAAAGAAAAAACACCTCAGAAAAAAACATTCAAATAGCGATATACAGTTAAATCCATGATTGTAAATTTTAAAGTTCCTTACATTACAGATTAAAATAACGCGTTTCGTTTTGATAACGACGCGAAAAAAAGATTAAAGGGAACGAAAAATTATCGGTACACAAAAGAGAAATAGAGCATAAAAAGGTTTCACAAAAAAGGGGCATGTGTTTTAGAGTGTTGTTACGCAAAAAAGTTTCACACTTAAACTTTTTGTGTAACCAATATACTTTTGTGAAACATTTCTTAATAGTTTATGCGTAGTTTATAGTTTATCATTGTAAAGCATATCTTAATTAGACTTTAAGTAGTATGTAGTCTATTTGTAGTCTTATAGTAACTATATAAGTAGAGTTTATAGAACGCTGGGTAGTTAGTCTTTGGTCTTTAGTTAGTTTGGATAGTTAGAGAGAAGGTCTCTCTTGGAAGGTTATTAGTTTTTAGTGCGTTGGGAACGTGCTAAGTTGGTTAAGGAAATAGGTGTATTAGTATTGATAGTGTGTCTGGGACACAACAGAAGAATATTTGTTTGATACTTTCTGGTGCCGTTTGTGATAATAAATTAGTCAGTTCATTTCTTGTTAATGATTACGACCCTTTGCTAAATTGGCCGAACCGATACAAGACTCTCCCTTGGTCGTAACATTTATGGTGCCAGTTGTGTGGATGAATAAAGACTAATAAGAAATAAAAGTCGATTAGAATAGAACATTTTTAATAATAAACGAAAGAAAAATTTAGAACGAAGATCGTTTTGTTGGTGAAATTTTAATATTAATTAAGTGGAACAAAAACCGAAGATCGGCTTGTGTTAGAAAAAATAATTGGATCAGTGAACACGACTTGAATCTGCGGTGTGGAAAAATTAATAATATAATTTGAATAATCGAACAAATTACGGATCCGTTCTGTGTTAGAATAGAGTTACGAAGACGATAAAGAACTGATAATATATTAGTAGCGAACGATAGAAAAGATAATTTAAGGCTTGGACGAACGAAACGATAAGTGAATATAGTAACGACAACTTGAAATAGAGCCTTGATGACTAATGACGACGGGCCTACGGACGAATATATGACTTACGAACCAGTAAACGCATCAAAGAGTGGTAATAAAACTGGCAAGGAGAAAAGAAATGTGTCTATAGTGAATGATGATATTGTTATGGATCGAAGCTATACTTCTAAGGGCAATAATGTAAAGACCAACGTAAGTCTTCTGGATACGCCAAATGATGGCCCTGATCAACAAACCCAACGAATTTTACAAGCAATAGCCGATGCACTAGAGCTGAGAGCTCAACCAAAAGAGCAAATCATAGTCAAGATTCCTACATTTGCTGCGGGAAATCAAGACCCGATAGAATGGCTGGAGCTAGTGGAACAAGCTTTTGAGGCGAACAACATTTCAGAAGAAAGAAGGTTGGCAGTAGTCGGTCCGCATCTTTCCGGAGCAGCTGCACTATGGTGGGCTAGACAAAAGCATAGGATGCAATATTGGAATAACGACTTTGCACTTCAACAAAGTTTTGCCTATCAATTTCGGCAAGCTTTTTGTTCTCAAGCCTTAATTAGTCAGTGGAACAATGAATTATTATCCCGACGCCAACGTGTAGGAGAAACAGTGGATCAATACGCTTCGGACATGTTGTCGTTATTCAATAGAGTAACTAAAGTGGGAATTCAGCACCCTGAGGTAGTAAAAGCACAGATGTTTGTGCAAGGGTTACGTCCCGATCTCTCTTTAGCCGTAGGACCTTTTATGTCAAATACACTACAAGAAGCAATAGATCGAGCCAGAATTTGTGAGATAACCTTTGCTCGTACAGTAGATTAGCTCTCTGTGGACCTGCGGCAATATACAATATTATATCTGGTACTTCAGCACTTCAGCAATCTCTTCTACAACAACCAGTGACTCCACAGCAACCTCGGTTGGGGTGTTGCACATCATATGATTTAATATCATAATGCAGCGCTATATGTAATTTACACTATGTAAGATTTTTAAA